GGGAGAGGGAGGAGAGGGAGAGGGAGAGGGAGAGGGAGAGGGAGAGGGAGAGGGAGAGGGAGAGAGAGAGAGAGAGAGAGAGAGAGAGAGAGAGAGAGAGAGAGAGAGAGGTGAATACAACCTCAATGGATATGGTTTATTACATATTTAGTGAAAACAAAAACAAATAATTTGCATTAATTTTAACAGGAAACAAGTAAGAAAAACATAGGCAAAGAAATGCTTTCATTTTTCATTAGCTAAGTAGCTCCTGTGGGTTTCATGTAAGATACCGATCTCTCTGTGTGTCAGTGATGGAGCATGGGTGCCATGTAAGATATCTATTTCTCCCCATGTCTTCCTGACGTAGCATGGACAACTGACAGGACCTGCAGACCTGTGAGCATTAAGGATTTTTCCAAGATCCAGAGGTGAGTTGTTTTATGCTTCTTACGCCCCAGAAAGCAATGCAAACCGAAAAGAAAATCTAAAGAAAGAAAACAACAAAAGTGAGTCAAAGCTTTTGTTCCTTTGAGTTAAATTATTGCCTGGGAAGCCTGGGAAAAGAAAACACAAATAATTTTACACAGTCAAATTATTTAAAACTTAGCAATCTGTTCAAGGATGGAATTCAGTCAAATTAACAATAAGGCATGATATGTGAAGGTAAAAATAAGAGTAAGAAGTTTTTTTGCTCTTTTACTATTACATATATGAATATGGGTTATTTAAAGGCATGGCGTTATATAAACTAGACACTGGACATAATAGAACAGGGTTTCATTCTGCATTTCTGGGTACTGAATGCTGTGTGTTCTAAGTTAGATGATGTCATTGCTTCACTAGTTTAAGGGGGCTTAGGAATATGAGAAGTGAAAACACTGATGAAGAATCATTTTCCTCCAAAGCGATACAATCTAGCCAAAAATGCATTTCATTCAACAGGAATGAAATCCACAAAACTGTGGCTAATTTGCCTTCCCCATCTTTTGATCTTACTATGTATTAAAATGTAGCTGCAAAACTTTTTTTTAAATTGAAGATACATCTAAATTCTAAAAATCAGCCTGGGAAGTCCATTGATCTTAATTTCTTGCTTTTGAGTAACACCACAAACTCAAAACAAGTCACCAAAACTTTATATGTGAATTTAGCAATAAGGATGACACAGCTATTCTCAGCAAGAAAAATGGCTGTAGGATTTTTTTTTCTCTGCATAATCTAAATACTTAATCCCATAATGCACCTGGCTATGCACTGGTTGTGGGTTGTGTACCTTCAGGTTTCACCTATGTGAGCTCTTCCCTTTGTTCCTTTTGTTAAGCTATAGAATTGCCTTTGAATCTCCATTTCAGGAGAGTTTTAGACTGATGATGAAAGAAACAACCAAGCTCATTGTAGTAAGTTTGTAATAAGCCAGACTTATTGTAATAGGTATGTGAGTCACCTCCCTATATCATCTCTTTATATGAACTGTGCAAATGTCTTCTTCAGAATATGACAATACTATCAGTTTCCTCTCCCTAAGAAGGTATTTAGTGTTTCTGGAAGGTGAATTAAAATATTCAGTGGAAAACTATTTAGCAGTAGATGCAAGCATGAGAGTATGCTCAGGTGAGGTACTGATGTAAAGATAACAACGTCGACCATCAATTTACACAAATATCCTTGCTCTCAGAATCAGGATAACAAACTAATGTCAGCAACAAACAAACAAATAAAATGACCCCAATTAGACACAATAAATTTTGCTGCATATTGATGCTTGGATGTGATGCATTGTCCAACTTCACTTCAACCTCCTGGTTGTTTCTAGATGATCAACAGCTGGAATATTGTCTAGTCTTACAAAGTTGTTCCCTTCACTCTCTTCATTCCTTTGAGCCTATCATACCCCAAAAATGAAAAATAAAATAAAAGTCAGTACATATATTCGAGCAGAAGACAAGAATAATATTAACATTTTGGAATTGCTTCAGAAGTCAAGCACAATGTGTTTAATGGCTGGTTTTCAAATTATTTCTTTGGACTGTTACTCAAGAGAAATGACCTGATGACATTTCTCATGGCAGTGCCAGGTAAAATAACACCAGGAGAAGAAGAGACTTGTCAGTACTCCTAAATTTGAATAGCAAGTTCCTTTTGTTTCTGAAAATGAGTTATTTTTCACAAGGTAGGTGAGAAAACATCTTCACAAGACATTCAGAGATGATGTCTATAATATTGGTAAATTTTTGAGTTCAGCATATTAATCAAGCAACTAGTACATCCTAGTAGAATCTGAAATATATGTGGCAATAGAAGAATTTATTAAGTTTGAATCTAGTATTTAAGATCACAAAGATTTTTCTCCATGGAAGAAGACTGGACATTAATTTTCAGGAAACCTCCAAAACATTATGTAAAATTTCATGTATCAGAAGTAATTTTTTCTAATCCCCAAGCATGGATGGTCTCATTTAGATTATGAATACTTCTGTCTAGCTTCTTAGTGATACTTAAAAGTCTTAACTAAAACTAGAATGAAAACTTAAAAATTACAGGTTATGACATTTTTACTAATTCACAAGGAAGCCTTTCCAGCTTTGAAACTCTGGTCCAGTTGGATCCTATAAACCTCCCTAAAACCAAAGCCCAAGCACTGATTATTTCTTACCCACCCCAAATACAGTCAGCACCCTCCCGAGTAGCTGGGTTCATATTTTTTCAGTTTCTCTGTTTGGGGCTTCTAGAGACTAACCTTCTAAAGAGACATACAGCTGGTAGATCTCAGGTGACTCAGTCAGACCTGACTAATGTGCTGTTAAGATGCTCGTGTCAGGCATTCTCTTGGTGTTTTAAGCATGCTGTGTTGTCTGAACTCTACAACACAGTTTGGAAGTCTGGTACGTCAGTTGTGGATGAATCGGTAGGAGCTCAAATGTGTTAATGTATGATTACCAGGCAATCTCAAGAAGATCAATAGCTGGGGCTGAGCTCCATATTTGTGGTAGTTCCCAGAAAGTCCCTGTGTACGGATGACTCTGATAGGTAGATTACTGACATGAGCATTCCATCAGAGTTATATGATAGGTTTTCTTTTAAGAGCAAGAATTCTGATTTTCAGTTTTTAAAGACAATAACTGCTATGCTTTAAGATGTTTTCATAGGCAACATTTTAATGATGAAAATTAGACTTTTAAAATATATGACCATATACATTGACAAAGGGTCACAGAAATGACATAAAATGATTATGTCCTTCTAAAGTTGTCCTTATAGTTGGCTCTTTGATACAAATTTTAAAGTAGAGGAAAACTAATTACTTTTATATTTCTGAACATATATGAATAGGTTTCACATATAACCATATATAACAAAAAATAATTTAGTAGAAATAATTATTTGTCATGAAATTCACATAAACACTTGATTATTAATATCAATTCTGTTAATTTTTTCTTTTTTATCTTTTATTAGGCTACGCATTTGTGTTTCCATAGTTATTGAGATTGTGTTTCATTCATCAACAGATCATTAATATATCTCTTAGTCAAATAAAATAAAGGCCTCTACATCCTTGCTTAAGCATAGTGGCAGAGTAAATAGATATTGTAGCATTTGACCCATATTTTTATATGTTACTCTAACATATAAATGCTTTCTGATGCATACAAATTCAATCTTTCCTCATTTTTATCCTAGTTCTGGCTAAGTCCCTTGATTTTAACAGCTGGATGCATACTATGAAACAGAGGAAGTTCATTCCCAGTGTCAAGCCCTCCTTGTGCTAACACATCATTAGTAGGCCTTGTCTTCGGGCTATTTTTCTGACTTCCTAGAGACTTTGACTCTCATGCCTGAACTTTGACCTTTACAGATGCTCTCTATGTTTTTTCCACCTCATTCTAGAAAGATCATCAGTTGGCAGGTGGCTAATCTGAACACCTAATCCCTGTTAAACACCAGTGGGAGCTATTGCCCCTCCCAGTTAAGTCTGTTTCTAAGACCTTGTTGAAAATGACTCAAATATAAGCATATCAGGCTTCTACCCTACTGGAGGGAGACTCACACATGCAAGAGTAGTTTTATGCAAACGACATGCCAAAAAGTTGCAAATTCTCAAATCACAAGCCAGAATGGTTGACTTCTTATATTCCTCTGTGCTTATTGATCTCTTCTGGTTTGGGCACACTGAGTATAGCCATTCGAATAGACCCAATGTCCAAAAGAAACAAAAATCTTGTTGAACAGTAGGCCATTGCAATGACAGCTAGTGAGCAGTACTATAGCTTCTATGAAGGCTTTAAAAACAGTTTTCATGGCATTTAACTTTGATATAAATTTGCAGGTAAAACATGTGATTTAAATTTCTTGAATTATTGACAAGAGAACGAACACGTATGGGATATCTTGTAGCTTGTCTTTGGCTACTTTGTGAGTTCTTCTTTCTTCTACCCTTCTCCACACTTATTCTCCCACAATTTCAACGCCATAACCCTAAATAGAAAAGAAAAAAAGTATAGACAAGAAAGGAAAGAGATCCCTGAAGAAAGTCAGGGGTCAGCAGTATTATTAGACTACCTTCTGCTGATTACAGGCATTGAGTTCCTTGGGGGTAAGTTTGATCTTCTCTGTCAGATATCTAATATCTTTTTGTTGTTGTTTCCTTTCTGTGCACTACTACTTAATAGACCACAACCAACAGCAACTAACAATAACCAACGAGCCACCCCTATTTTCTGGGATTTAGCATATATATATATATACCCTCTAAAAAGTCCTCAGATTCCAAATATCACAGAAACTACCTGCAGTCACAAGCATGTCTAACGTGTTAAGTCATGTTCTGTAGGGGAGGATCATTTATTCTATGTGACTAAGGAAAGAACCTCAATTATTAAAATAGGAAACTACATTTTGGTGAATACTAATAATCATTTTATTCCATCAAAATTTATGCAATTGTATAAATTCATAAAAAATGTACATTTCTATAATTCCCTAATACTCATGTTAAGCACATATACTCATTTGTAGCTCTGACAGCTATTATATGAGACCTAAATAGAAGATATTTTCTATAAAATTTACTTCTTTCCCATCCAACTATTAATATGTATAAATTGAAAACAGTAAAAATAAAACATTATCAAATGAAAGTTACTGCTTCCTTGGCTGGAGTTAAGAGAACTGAATATCATGCAGATGGCCTGGTGTTCCATTTCCACATCCATCTGATGACTTACAACAATCTGTAACTCTGATGCTAGGGTTCTGATGCACTCTTCGGACGTTCACAGGCACCAGGCACACACGTGGTGCACATATACCTAATGCAGGAAAGCACCCATATACATAAAGTAAAATCATCTAAAAGTCCCAAAGATTGTTTCTCTAATGTCAGTGAAGGTTGAAAAACAGTTAACTGGCTACTGTGAGGATTGTCAACAATTATTAGTAAGAACTGCTTTAATGGAAACATGAAAAGTATTTAAATTATATAAA